GCACACGACCGCGGTAAACCGGGGTCATGGAATCCATGCATAAATTTGCATAAAATGCGGTCGACCGGCGAGCACCCACCACCACCGCGGTAATGACCGCGGTGCACCGCCCGTTTGATTTCCTACTCTTCCCTAACACACATTGTCAGTAGAAATGGTCCTTATTCAAAATTAAATTATTCTGTTCAGTTGTTTTAGTGACAGAGAAATAAAACTATGATTAAAGACCAAGCTCATTGAATCTTCGTCATGTTTTGGTGTGTTCGATCTGGTCTTGTACTGTAGGCACGAGTTTGAAAGAAATGAGGCACATGTATTGGTGTGTTTGATCTGGTTTGTACTGTAGGCACGAGTTTGAAAGAAATGAGGCACATGTTTTGGTGTGTTCGATCTGGTTTGTACTGTAGGCACGAGTTTGAAAGAAATGAGGCACATGTATTGGTGTGTTTGATCTGGTTTGTACTGTAGGCACGAGTTTGAAAGAAATGAGGCACATGTTTTGGTGTGTTCGATCTGGTTTGTACTGTAGGCACGAGTTTGAAAGAAATGAGGCACAACACTGATTGATGTTTATGTCATCTTTGTGTTTTTCATGTTTTGTTTTTCTGTTTCAGATAAAATGGCACCACGGTCGCAGAATAAAACTAAAGAAAAGCCTACATCTCCCAAGAGAAGTGACAAAGGAAACATTCATGATGTAAAGAGATTGAAAGTAACTGCTAGGAAATCTACTCACAGTGGTAAAGTGAAAAAAGCTAGAGAACTGTTAGAATCATACAAGGATCAAGTAAAGGTAGGCCATGCCAAAGCTAGAGAATCACTGCACAAGTCCATGGACCAGCAGCCACAACCATCAACATCTGCTTTTGCTCTTGATTCTGGAGCAAAAAAAGCTGCTACACGAAGTCTTTTTTGTGCCTCAACTGCCACAGCTAGGAAAAGTATTCCTATTAGCTGCAGAAAACAGGTGGAATTACTTCTAGCCATCAAAACTTCACCTGAAGAAACTCAGAAATCTGTAACGCTGAAGATTTCCAGTCCCAATCCATCCAGATCAAGTCCTAGATTACAAAAAAGAGAGAAAGGCCAGTCACTCGTTCCAAGCAGTGGCATCAGAAAACTAAACTTCTCCGAAAACACGTATGTGAATAAGTTTAACTGTTCACAAGTTAGTCCAGAGAAAGTTGAAGAAATAAAAACATCAAAATATCCTGTTGTTACAGTTGGACCATTGCCTAAGGAATATATCCACCTAACTTCACCTTCACCTAAAAGACACACACCATCACTCAAAAAAACACCTGAACAAAGAGATTCACCAAGGCAGGATGAGGCAAAAGATGGAAACTCGGAAATGCCAGAATGCAGTTCAATCAAAAGTGAACATCCTCAGCGAAATATATTTGATGTTTTTAAAGGAACTGTCACACAAATTGAAGAACAGGCCAATGAGAAAGAATCCAACACTCTTCCATGTGCTACCAATGTTCGTTCTGTGAAAGAGGTCTCTTCTGACAATCCTGATAAAACTAGTCTTATTGAAAGGTGTGTAGATGCTAAACCCAAGCCCAAAACAAATCTAGCTTTAAATGAAAAGTCTCTAGAGCTGATTCTTGAACATGTCATATTTGCCAAACCAGGCGTTGCAGGTAAAGCTAGAAAAAGCATAACAAAGAAAGCCAGTGGCAGTGGAGTTCAAGATACTACCATCACATCAACTCATGTTCATGATGTTGATTCAAAATCATTGGGAGTTGCGCCTATCAGTGATCAATCCTCTGCATCTTCCTGTGATGTACAATCTGAAGTACATTCTCAACTTGCCAATGTGTATGAAGATGCCCTTGCTCATACAACTGTCACTGATGACAATACACTGATGATTAGATCTGAGAAATTTGAACCTTTAAGCCAGGTTTCCAACATACAAGTTTATGACAGTGCTGATGACTTCAAAGAACAGCTGTTGGATGCAGAAAATATTGATGAGAATAAAGTTACTGCAGTGTCTGTCTCACAAACTAAGATTACTAAACAGGATATAGAAGACCTTTTTCCCACTAAAGATACCAGTCCTAATGATGATCCTGACAATGGTGTCTCTTTGAACGAATTGAAAAATGACATTCCAGAGGTTCTGCTTTGTACTGAAACAATGCCAGATGGTGAATTCGACATAGCAGTACGTGCTGATACGGAGGACCGGTTGACGTTGCTGAAAGATAAACATCTCCCAGAATATAAATGCTTTGTGTCCGCAGAACCTTCTCTAGAAGTGTTGCCCAGTTTTGATGAGAATGATTATGGTGATGATGATTATAGTATGGATGCAAATGATGATTTATCTCTCCAGGATTCCCAGTTGCAGACTCCAGAAAAAAGATTTCTTGCAACAGAAAATAATCTTGAGAAAACTCCTGAAATTGAAAAGATTAAACCTGATTTTGATGAAGTACAGGGAATGTTATTCATGTCTTTCTCAAGTAAAGATGCAATGAGTGCCCACAGTAATGTAGAAGCTGCTGCTCGCAGACAATTAGGTGTGAAGCATGTTGACTTCCTGAAAGATATTTCACAATATCATGCACTGGATATGCAAAAATGCCAAGACAAGATGAAAGATAAACCAAGAAAAGGTCTTGGAAACAATGAATATCGCAGCATGAGAGGAATTCATAAGCGCATACGAAAATATGAACAGATGCTGAAGTGTGAATTAAGAAAGATCAAGAGCCATAACACGCTGCATCCAGATTTGAAGAAAGGAGGTGTTAGTCTGGATGAAGGATTAGTTGTCAGTCTTAATTTGAAAGATCTAGGAATAGAATTGAACCCTCCACCACAAATTCAGTCACAATCTTATGATATACCTGGTTATGTATCACCAAAAGGAAAGACAACTGATATTACCAAAATTAAGGGATGGCGAAACAAATTTGGCATGACTGAAGATGATGATGAAAATGACAATGAGTGCACTCCAAGGCAGTTATTTACCGAGCACAATAAAGAACCAGGTTCTGTAGAAAAACAGATTGGATTGAAGAATTTAGTGGAAAGCATTAAAAAGAAGAATAAAAAAAAGAAAGATGCCAGTGATGAGTCAAACAAACCATTGCCACAGTCTGCCAGTCCACAAAAGAACCCAGTTGGTGTAGTAGAAAATGAAGCCTTAAAGAACTTTGAAAAAATGGTGACAACTTCAAAATCAGCCTTTGTTAGCAACACACTTGATGCATACCTGGAGGAACAGCAGAAGACCAACACAGATCAAGGTGAAAGTTTCAAAAGCCCTTACACTCACCCACTTCTTCAGAGTAAGACTAGTAGCGTAACTTTCAAGGTACCAACAAAACCTGCTTCTACTCAAAAAATTAAAACTTTGCAGTCTGTTTTGGCTAAAAAGGGAATCACATTACCTGCCTTCAGTTCTAATGGTCCTCGTACCTCTGTATCAACTAAGCAGCAAGCGTCTAAAGGTCGACTAATGTCCAAACTAAAGGATAAGATTAACCGTTCAACAACAAAATCTTCCAAAGCAATTCTTAATAAGCAAAGTTCTAAAAGTCCTAAGAAAGACCATCCAGGAGATTGTATCCATGAACAAAAGGAAAACGGTACAGTGTCTTCAACAGAAAGAGATTCTTTTCCAGATGTGATGTATTATAAAGGCAATATTTTAGTGAAGAACACTGCTGAGAAAAATCGCAAACTTCTGACTGAGGGGACAAGATTTAAAATTATTGATAGTCGTTTGGTACATCAAGTGGAAACAGAACCTGTCAAGACATTGACTCCCATTCTGCCAAAGAAAGCTAAAAAAAGAAAAGTAGCACCTGACAGCATAGGGAAAGCAAAAGATAATGTTGTGACGGTGAATCAAGCTTTAGCAGCTGTGTCTGCACTGGCTACTGGTGAGCCTATGTTGGACGAAGAACTTGTACTCGGCTCTACCACACAGATTCCTGTCACTAAAAAGGTCAAGAAAGTCAAATTAAAAAAGACTGAAAAAATGGTGAAGGTGAAACCAGCAGACAAAAAACAAAAACAACATGGTATTTTGGTGAGTAGGAAGGAGGCTGGCAGGATGGATGCTATTGAAGAGGAAATCCCAATCCCTCAAAAACCAGACGAACAACCCCAATATGATCCACTACATAGCATGGTTTATGCAAAACCTGTTAATGGAACATTGATCACTGTTTCAGAGTGCCAAAAAGATATGTGTTGCTTTGGTTGTGTTTGTAGCAGCATTAATAAACCATATATTAAAATACCCAAAAAGGATCATTGCGGAAAAGAAGAATGCATGCTAGAATGTCAGTGTGCTAGAGAACAGTATGAACATCGAAGTACTCGAATTAAAAAAAGACCTTCTTATTTCAAGGAACAAGGTATGCTGTTTTATGATGGTGAAGGCATGTTTTTTCATGAAGAGCCAAAAAACACTAAAGTCCTCTGGCAGGCTGCAACTTCTCAACTTAGCCAACTGAATGCTGTTTCAAAGAGACAGAAGAAAGTGCAGAAAGATCCCATTGTTGATGTTGTCAATACAATTCCACCCTTGAACGTTAAACTTAGTACAGGGATTTTGTATCAACGAGAAGAAAGATATAGTGAATCTGAATCCAGTGATAACAGTCACCAGACATCAACTTGTGCCAGATGTACCATCTATCATCACAAGAGACGAACACGATGTAGATGTAAAAACTGCAGAGCTCACGAGAATTCAACCTTTTCAACCACAAAACATTCATTAAGTAAACCTGAAGATGGCCAGAAAGAAAATAAACCAGTTACCAAGAAATCAGAAAAAGTCATTGTTACCAAATGCCTCTCAACCAGTAGCACAAGTGATCCAGTTGTCATAAGTGTTCGCCAGTGCATTCAGCCTCTTCTGCCTGGTAGTTCAGTTACAGAGAAAATTCCCGACACCCAATCACAGACTACATATTGTACTTTAGGAAGTATATCTTCTTTGCAGACAGTATCCCAGCCTACTCATCCAGTAGTTCCATTGGTTGATCAAAACAAAAAAATAGTGACGAAAGATCAATCCACTTTTAATCAAAATTCAAGTCACTCATTTACTTCCTCAAAACTGATTGAAGTTGTTGCTGATTGTGACTGGAGAAACAGACAGAAGGAAATTATGGAATGCATAGCCAGACATAAGGGAACTAGTGGGCACATGCGAGTTGGAAAATACAAAATTGAAATCTTGCCTCAGGGTTCAGAAATTAGTCGAGGGGAAAAACTAAAGACAAACAAGACAACCCAAGTTGTACCAACAAATAGTCAAAAAGTTTTAACTCAGGTTGTTGCCCCAATAAATATGGCAGTGTCTGATGTACCAAATGATTTGCCAGTGCTAACAACAAAAGGAATTCCTTCAACTCAAATCAGTGTTCATACTGGAATGACTAACAATACTCAGACCGTCACTGTACCATTTTCTGCAGTACTTGCTTCAAAAGAAGGAACAAAGAAAACTCTTAAACCTGGTCAACTTATTACTTTCAAGCAAGCAGACAAAGTTTTGGTTCCATCTATTGTTTCTAATGCAACTCCTGCCATAGGTTCTGAATCTCATCTCAAGTCATTAAACGAGATGACCACACAATCACTTGAAACATTTAAAACATCTACTTCAATGTGTCAGTCAAATTTATCTACAACCTTGACTTCTGTCCCAGTGACAAGTACACCAACATCTGTTTCTGAGAAAATACAGCCAGAAATACAGTTAACTTCAGTGGCTCTACCTGGATCATCAACAACAGTGATCAGTCAGTCAGCTTCGTCAATCTCTTCAGAATCAATGACAACAACCTGCAAGACAACAGTTAATTCAACTACTACTCTGGCATCTTCTATAACAGTTAATTCAACTACTACTATGGCATCTTCTACAACAGATGAAATACCTAATCATTTAAGAGCTGTACCTCTTCCCACTGCATTATTGACAACAGCCGCACTCACTAAGTCAGCTTGGTCAACAACAGGTGTGACTTCAACTATTCAGTCAAAAATGTCTGATGCTCCTGTGAGTACCTCAGCAACATTCATAGGAATTCCACATCCCTCAGATGCAAATAGAACTGTTCTTTTACCTCTCCCAACGAGCAGCTGTCGCTCTGAAAAACAGTTTGTCGTCGCTGATGGATTAAGTAAGTCCTCCATATCATCTACATCACTACCAAAGATATTGAATAATAAAGGTGAACCAGTCAATATTCCTGTTGGGGCAACTATACTTCTCCCAACCAGTGTGGTGGGAGATAGACAAGTACTGAAACCTTTGAATGTGGTTGCCCCATACCAGAACGTAAAACCTCCAAAGAATAAGTTAATAGTTCCAACTCTTGATCCTATAGAAGAGAACAAAGTTAATCATCCTGTAGTTAGGGTGTGTATAGATGATATTCCTAAGGGTATTACTATGACGTATATCCCAAATACATCTGACCAAAATTTTGGTGTTGCAACGGATTCAAGTCGTACACATATTATTCTGAAAATGGAAAATGGTTTTCAAGTTGACACTGGGGGCATAGTTACTCCAACGACAAAACAACCACCAAGAACAGCATCAGTAGTTTCTCAGAATGTTTCATCATCTTTACTTGGTTTCAGTAATACTGCTGTTTGGTCAAGAACAGGTACTCCTTCAACATTAACAAATGTGCAACCACAACCTGATGCAGTACCATCTCCAGCAGCATCTTCAGCTGCATCAACAAATGCGAAACTGAATTCCCCACACACACAGCTACCTTTTTACAGAGATGTTCGTGGTTTTAAAGAAAGCTCTGAATCTGTTCAGGAAGCAACAAAAGGATCATCACCCATAACAAAAACTATTACAGCGCAAACTATTACACCACCTGTGTTGGCAATTCAAAAAAATATTACAGGGGCACCATGCACAACAACGTTATCAAACACACCACCTGTGTTTGCAATTCAAAAAAATAATACTGGTAATCGTGCATCTTTGGTAATGGTACCTGTATCTGCAAGTACTTCCAAGATTCTCAAGGTTTCCTTAATACCACATTCAGCAACGGTGATGTCGACAACAACAGCAAATCACTTGATTTCAAGTTCAAGTAATCTCTGCAGAACTACATCACAAATTCCTACAACGTCTGTTTGTAGAATAGAATCTAATACAACAGACAAACCTGTACAGCTATCTGCATTGACTGTTGTATCTTCTACTGCAGTTGCATCTACAGATTCAGTAGTTGCTCTTAGAACTGGAGTGGTGAAACCTTCTGCACAGCATACTGCAACATTTACAGTATCCCAAATGGGTTCACTGGTACAGATGTCCTCGAAGATCTCTCCAACAGTAGAAAAAAAAGATACTACACCCCAATCTGCAAGTACTCGTCCTGGTATTTTTAAGTTGATAAGACCAGTTACTACAGAAGTCCAGTTGCAGAACCTACCATTGAGCTCAAGCAGTTCAGAGTTTTCCAAACATGTTGCTACTTCTGCTGCAAAACAACAGCATACAACAAGTGTGGTTCAAACGAGTGGCGTACAAGTGTCAACACTTCCTACATCACAGTGTCCAGTTGTCAAACTGGGAACTGCAAATTCATTAGACAATACGTGTGCATCAAGTACAGTATTAGATAAAAAGTTGACGAACCCATTTACTGAAGTTAAACCACTGCACAGTACTGCACAGCAGTCACATATGTTGACTATTCATCCAACACTTCCAAAGACGTCTGCAGAAGTTCAGTCATGTATTCAAATTGTTCCAGAACATCCATCTATTGTTCGAGTGAAAACCGTTCAGAAATCATCACTTTCTTCACTCACTCACCCTACAAACACGCAAATAAATCTGCCAAGTACCTGTTCGCAAATATTTACAAATGTTAATTTGGCTACAAGGTCTGTTGCTCAAACAAGTCAATCCACATCTGCCATGCAGCCATTAGTTCAATCTACAGATGATTCACCACTGAAAGGAGATCAGATTCCAGCACAGACCTATCGTATTAGTTCATGTGGATCTACTGGAGCTAGACACTTTCCATTTGAAACTGTAAGTCGTTTCAGCATTTCACACAAACCTTCAGATGCTAATGTGGCAGAAGTTAGCATTAGCTCTGCAACTAAAAAAAAAGAGGGTGTAAATGAAAGTGAACCATTGAAGAAGAAGCAGATTAGCCTAATATGTGAAGAAGAAATGGCACCATCTGATGAAGAGTCTTGTAAGTTGGGCAGTCAAAAATTACTGGGCAATCTAGATTTACGTCCAATCAAACACACTGATGAAGATATGGATGTTGATGTTGAAACCGTTGACAGTGGGATTGTGCCTTTGCAAACAGATAATGATGTAGATATTGAGGAAAACAGTGATGAGGAACTTCAGTCTGTGAAGCTTCAATCCTTTGTAGGACAGCAGAAAGAATCAACCATGGTTCAACAGTGTATGTTGCAGCAAAAGCCATCCAAACGAAAGCGTAAATCACCTGTTCAGCAAAAGATGAATTTGAGTGATGAGACCACGTTTACGGAAACTGTTCGAGCTGTGCAAGTTGGACCAAAGCAGGCTCATCCAAAGAGATCTTTTATCCTGCACTCATTCAAGGAAAGAGAGAGAAGATCATTCATGAATGAGTTATTTAATAACTTAAAGAAAATGCTGTGGGGCTATGAAGATGAAAGAATTGCCAAAAAGGCTGTGTTAATGAAAGTAAGTGAACAGTTTGAGTCTTTTCAGTTAACAATAACCTTTTTTCTGGAGATTGTGTCATTAACTCTGGTTGTCAGTGCAATTTGATATGTACATTCATTTTATCCAAATTATGCTCTTCATTAACCATTAAATTGGTAGGTTTGTTGTGGTGGTTCTTTCTGAGATTTGTTCTTAACAAAACAACAAACAGTTTACTGCTATTACTATACCAAATAATGTCCAAATAATTACCAGAACTTTATACATACGTTATAGATTAATCTTATAATTATAAAGATACATTCCAGAATGGAATCTCTGTTGTATGTGAATGGGCAAATCCTTTGATCCACTTCATATTATTTTTTAGATCAGTTTCAAAATGGCTGGCAGGTGGCCATTTTTATCAAAAAATGCAGTTCTGAATACATATTTCTGACATGCCAAAACCATTCATGTTAAAATAAAATGCATGAAATAAAAAAATACACAGTAATTTATGGATTGATATCTATCAGTGCATGTGTTCGTGTGTGTGTCTGTCTGTCCATATTCAACCGTATGTCAAACATGCTTGGACTAATTTAGTTAAAACTTCACATATACATCAGACATAATATCACATGTATACTCATCAATTGTTCTATAAAGTTATTTTAAGGCCAAAAATGCATCAAAATCACACAATTTTACTATTCCAGAAACTAATTTGATTATACATTAAACACAATAGGACTTTGATGTGCATCATTTTATTCTTTGAATCAAGTTCAAAATGACCAACTGGTGGCATTTTGTTTTAAAAAACAAAGTTCTGGATCCATAAATCTGCCATACATAATATTGGATATAAAGCATATGCATTTGTTTCATGATGCAATCGAAGATGGCCAAATTGTAGCCATTTTAGGTCAGAACTATACCTTAATAATGGAGCGACCGATTCTGTTCAAACTGTATACATGCGTTGAACATATTGGGATCTTGATGCAATTAATTTTAGTTTACAAATTCGTTTCAAATGGCTGACTGGTGGTCATTTTGTTTCAAAGAATGCACTTCTTGAGTATATATTCAACATGTCTGGACCTATCACGTTCGACCTTCACACATCACACAACCTGTTGCACAATCACATGTACATTTTTGTCACCATCAAATCCAAAATGGCTGAATGTCGATAAATTGTTTAAACAAATACATTTCCACAAAGCTGTATATATCATACATGCCTGGACCATCATTCTACAGTACAAATGGGAACTATGTCATTGACGATGACTTGTTTACTTTACATAGTGTGGTGCAGAAATTAAAGCCTTGAAATCCGAAGGAAAAACTCTTGCAAAAAGAAGACAAGAACAATATGATCACCGCAAAAGACTTTACATAAAGTTACTGATGGAGTTAGGTAAATTGCTGTTTAATAATGTTTGTGCATGCCTAGTATTTTATGTTTTTTTGAAAACTGTAACTTTTTTAAGATCTCTACTATTTTGTGCAGCCTCCGCAGCACTACTGATAACTTACTTACCTCAGGTAGTCAATAGCCTTCGCTGTTCTACCAGGTAGTCTTATCTCAGCTACCACAGCTTCACCTCATAATCATTACTGATTACTAATAGTTAACATTTATTTATCTTTATCACATTTTGTTTTTAAGAAGTTTTCTGTATGTTCTTGTTACCAGGTGCTAAAGGTCATTAGTACTGTCACTAACTGACCTATCT